TTACATGTTATATTTTTGGAAGCCTAGAAGGGGCAAGAAACCTTGTACCTTGAATTGATCTTACATGTTATATTTTCAGAAGCCTAGAAGTGGCAGGAAACCTTGTACCTTGAAAGTAGCTAGCAAAGCAACTGGGATTTTGAGGGATAAAAGTGAACCAGGTTAAGTCTCACCTGGACATAAACTGGTGAGAGTGATCAAGTGAGGTTAAATGGTTCACAATACTAGAACCAACAGTGTTTGTTTTAGTTTATATCTGTTTGGCTCATGCTTTGCAATCGGGGTAATTGCATGATTTATAAAAAACTTGAAACCCAAATTGGGTATGGGTATCCAAACCTAAAAACATGCTGTTAGGGTTGATTATATACAGATCCATATTCAACAGCCGGTTCATCTTTTTATTGGGTCAACAATATGCCACAAGTTCAGAAGACCAAATATGTCAAGTTTGGCTGGTTGTATCTCTTTCTTCTGTCATCTCACTTGTTTGTGTATGAAAGTATTTCACCACCTGAATTTTTCAGAAGCTTCTTAAAGAAGGCTGCACCCCCAGTGTGAGATATGGGGGTTAAAATCACTCTGTCATGAGTGATTTGTCATGATGCCATCAAAATTCTTTTATAGTACCGCAAACTCAGTTCAAGCCTCACTTGTGAACCAAGAATTCAAAAGGTGTATAGGCATGCCTTCTAAAAAAGGCTGCACCCCAGTGTGAGATTTAAATGTGAAATTCACTCTGTCATAAGTTGTTCTTTATGATACCATCAACATTCTTTTCTAGTACTGTGAACTCAGTTCAAGCCTCACCTGAAGGCTTGAGCTGGTTCACAGTACTAGGAAAGAATGCCAATGATATCATAAAAAAAATATGATGGCATTAAAATTCACAGGCAGGCAGGGAAACATGAGGTAGAACAACAAGAGACAAATAGAACAATAGAATTCATTCAAATCCCTAACCTTACACTTGAGATTTGAAAACAAGAGAACCTTTTGGTAAAACAAGATACAAGCAGAACAATAATTATTCAAATCCCTACCCTTACACTTGGGTTTGGAAAACAAGAAAACTTTTTTTTGATTGATGGAAGGTACATTTTGAGTTAATAGGAAGAAACATTACCAAGAGTTAAATAAATCCAGCACAACAAAATTTCAATTCAAGAGAAACAAATACATGACAAGGTTATTTTTTCTTTTTATTAAGATCTTTGCCAACTTCAATGTCCGGTAGGTCAAACAGACCGTCTTTATAAATCTCACCGCCAGAGAATTTTTGCCTATTCACACAAAAGTTATAAAGGTCTACTTCCAGCGCTTTGGCGAGCTGGAACTTGGACAATTCATGCTCATCCCATTCAACATCATTGAGGTTGGAGGGGTCAAAACCTGTGGGGAAAAAGATTTTTTCCATTGTTTCCAGGATGTACTTTTGGGTGTATTTCCAGATGGGTTCCTCAATCGGTGCTTGCCCATGCATCTCCTTAACTAGGACCAGGAAATGAGAGAGTTTCACAGGACCATATCGCCCTCTATCGTGCGGGAAAATCATGAGACCTTTTACACCAGACACTAGAAAAGCAACCAGAGGTCCAAGAACATGAGACGGGATGGAGCCTGTACCCAGTGTTTCGGTCATTGCCTCGTATTCTGAGAGGAGCTGGTCGTGTCTATCAGCTGGTGTTCGACTGAGATGCAAAGCATGGTGAAATTTCGCTCGTAGACTGGCAACGGCCTCAAAGACTGTGTAAAGACGATTGACCATCCCAGACATCACTTCCATACACTCTGCAACAGTTTGAGTTTGCTGCTTAGTCTCGTGAAGGCTTTTGAAGTGATGAGCAGCTTGAAGACACTGCCCGATGTTTTGGTTTGGAAATTGAACTTCAGGAAGAGTGTAGTCCACCGGAAGCTCGTTGGTGTCCATTCGGGCAAATGTAACAGCTGCAACTATCATCCGCACCGCCTGGTTTATCCGCTTTGCACCTGGACTGTAGAACAAACCCAGAATCTCGTGCATGTAGGAGGTTTGAGCTGTGGCATCCATGGTAGTTGCCAGCTCGTAGTCGGGTAAGGTGAAGTTGAAAATGTCGGGGCGATGCCACGGCGCTTCGCCAGCACTACGCACAAGGAGTGAGTCTGGAATAAATAAATGAAATCAGCATCAGTTGTCAATGGTAACAAATGAAAAAATTACTCACTGGGGTTTTTGGCAAGCCACTTGGTAACTGACAACTTGTTTTTCACCCCAAAAGCCTCTGCTTCCTGGACAGGGGGCTTGGCCGGCAAATTGATGCCTTGTTTGCGCCGAAAGAGCAAGTTGATCGCAGCCCGGTAAACTTGGGGTACATCTTGTGTCACAAGTTTGTTTGCCTCAATCGAAGCCGAAGTGAGACCAAAAAGAGGAGACTGAGCCATCATCCATAGGCCGGTAGGGGCAGGTTCCTGGACTGATTGAGGAACCTGCTCATCTTGAGAATGACCGGTTGAAGAGTCGAGTTTAGTTTTCTTCGGATCAGGAGTGACTTGCGAGTTGGCTTCAATAGGCCTTTTAAGAGGCATCAGAGTGGAGGTAGACTGAGAACTGGACTGTTGGGATGATGTTGATGGTTCGAGGAGCCGA